CAGATAACTCACACTCTGACTTCCTACGTGATGAAAAATGCTTTCGGGCCACTCGTCGTCTAGTTTGTATGACCACCACCTAGCGAAATGAGGTCCGAATAGACCTGCTGGAGAAGAGGTCAATCTGGAGGATGTCCCCCTTTTCAAGTCATGGACTTCTTGTTTCAGCGTTGGACGCATGACCTGCCCGGTTCACGGGGCTGTGGGGACGAGCCGACCCCTTGGGAGCGGAGATTCTCGGGTCGACGGGTCGGTCGAGTGGGTCGAAGCGGAGGCAGGGGGCTGTTTTCGAGCGCTCTGGGTAGGTCTGATTTTGGCCGACTTGGACAACTTGGAAGCTGCCGCCACGGCGATGATTCTGCAAGGCACGGACTGGGACGGACCTGGAGACGAGAACACGAAAACAACTGCCATGAGTGCTCCTGAGCAGGTGGTGTTCGATCCTTGCACATGAGGTTAAAATAGTTTAAAATGACCGACCAGTAGCTGACTTTATATACAGGTCTCTGAAATGGAGGCTGAAATGCAGAAGACCCAAAGTCGCGGGTGGTGATAAGTCTCCTGGTAGAGAGGAGAAATCCGAAAGCCCTGCCATCCCGGGACCACCGAGCTGTTTTACTCAGGATGCAAAACACGACGAAGACGGCTCGACCGTCTTGGAAGGCGATGGGGCATTGTAACCAAACCAGGCTAACTGAACTCTTTTACTGGAATACTTTCCGAAATCGACCCACAAATCGATGTTCTTCCGTTGGGCCAACAGCGAGGCTGAATCGAACTTCATTGGCTGTTGACCCCCACATGTCAATGCCACCATATCAATCAATGCTGAGTTGGGCTTCTTCCTTCGCCCCGCGCGACTCACGCGGCTGCGACGTGCGCGGCGCCGCTGGGAGGCTTCATCGCTCCCTTGCTACAAGGGTGGACCTGCGAAGTGGTGCATCTTGGTCGAAGAGGATGTGGTCGAAGCGGTTGACCGGGGGAAATCAGGAACTCAAGGGAAGGACCATCTAGCTGGTAGAGATTCAAGGAGCAAGACTCGCAGATCGGAGTTGGGGTGCCTATTTACCAGTGCTTCTCAGTGCTAAACCCCGACATAGAACTCCAGGACTGTGTATCGGGCTCTTTGCTATCGCTGATGGAATCTAGCATAGTTGAGCTCAGCCTCTCGAGTTTCTTAGAGGTCGATTAAGCAAGCTTGGAATTTGGGCAGGAAAAGGCCCAGATGGGACCCAAAACTTAAGGGATATGTTCGGCTCAACACTTGGCCCCAAGAGATGCGGAAGATTTTCGACCGAACAGCGCCTTATTTTCTGAGTCAACAGGTGGCCTTTCGAATGGGATTTTCCACCGATGGCCTTTGTTTTTTTCATCATCCTAAAAAGTCCAAGATCCTGGCCTCCAGTGGTCAAGGTAGATGATCCTGACGCGTGAGGTACTCAGCCGTAGTGTACACCCTTGGGGTGTTGCAATCCAGTAGCCTGCCTTCTGGATATGGTTTGACACCGAGTCACCACAAGAACAAATCAGAACACACGAGGTGCGTCATTTCTCTGAGAATCGTTGAGTGCTTGAACTCGCAACAGAGCCAACGTTTTCTCTCGGATTTTCTCTTGGAAACCATGGCACGGACCCATTTTTGCCTTCGGGGACGCCCGCAAGTTCGTCCTGGAAACCAAAACAACCCGAAACACCTGGACGTTTCCCCAGTCCCATCCACTTCCTTTGTAAAGGATCTCAAGAATACCATATTGGAACAACCATTTGTTCGTGGTTGGGACTGGGTTTCCAGGATGTGGCGCACGATGTTTTGCAGAATCCTTTGGCCTTCTTTTCACTGTGCAGTTCCGTGCGCTTTCGCGCCTCAGGGAAGTTTTGATGGACACATCCGTGCCAGCAGATGTCATCTTCGTTTTATTAGTGTGCAGTGCCTTGGAGTATGCAGCGGCTGGCTGGGTGGGGGTATCGAGTAGGTATCGACGTTGGAGCCCGGGGGGGATCCAAACTGAAGCTCAGATGGGCTTCGTGCGGCTCACTGGACCCAAACATCTTCCAGACTGCACACCTCCACCAGGACCCGACGACAGGTCACCAATAGAGACCTGAGACAGGGCCTAACAACCCTCAACTAACAGCCTGGCCGAGTTCGGGTGCTGGTACCATCTGAGTCTGTCATGGATGCTGCTAGGATGCTGCTAGCTGCTAGGGACAGAGACTGTCTCACTTCACTTCAAGCTCCCAAGATCCGAAAGATTCGAAGATAAGCATCTACTTGCTTCTGGTTCGATTGAATATCCACACACACCTTTGGTCAATCGATTTCTTTCCATTGAGAAGAGCTGACGTGGATTTTCCCCAATTTCAGCGGTTCCCTGCATGGGTCACAGCCTGTCTTTTGCTCCATACCCACTACTTTTGGTCTTTTTCCCGTGCTTCCTCTTGGGGGGGAAAAACCACCTGGCTGCCAGGGGCCAGTCGACTCGTTTCCAGTCGACTCGTTGCATCTTCGAGCGATCTCGGTCCATCCATGTTCGCCACGCGTTTTCCAGCGCGTTTAAAGGCGATGGATGCTTTGAGACGCCACGCTTCGCGCACTGGCTTCTGCAGTTGCGCTCTTCCAACAATGCACAGGTCCCGGTCCCAGTAGCCGCTGTGTTGGGGCCGGAGGCCGTTTTTTTGGGGCGGGGCAATAGCTGCCATAGCCGTGCTAGAGTGTATAGCGTGTATATGCCTGGGCATCCATTTGAAGCCAACGGGAACGGCAAGGTGCTGTGGTCTCAAATCGTAAAAGGATGGCTATTGGGTATTCAGGCTAAAATCAAGGGTGGGCCAGGAAGGATGTCGGGGTGTATGCCTGTAGCAGCAGTTCCAAGGGAGTGCCCGGCATCACATCCACTCAAAATCATTCCGAGAACTGCTGGTAGTACAAAGACCCTGGAAGTCATGTGAAGAGTTTGATCCAAAAGGGACACTTGACCTGATACCTGTCCCACCACTGATATTCCCGAACATCCTTTCTTTTACTAAGGATTGGACACTTCACCACCAGGTCGTTTTCATCTTAAAGAGGGTCGAACAGAAGCCATGGGTGACAGAGACGCAGGAACTTCCAGGAAAGACCATTTGCCTTACGTTTTGACAGACCAAATGGTCCCAGGGAGAAGTCTTTTTGCACTCGAAAAGTCTTCGGTCTCATTGGTTCTGCAATGAGACCGCTGTTCTTTCTTGCAGTTGGAAGTTAAGCTCCATTTTTCATTCATGGAGTTGGGTTGGTGCCACGTGCTGCACAGATTCACCATGTGCGAGCATCGAGTACTGTATACCGTATCCCCCACTTCCCACTGTGAGTGGATCCACCATGCTCTCGAAGTCACGTTTCAAAACGACCGACACATGTTTGATGCTTTTTGAGCCGTTCCATGCTGTGCCGAACTTGGAAGTCGGGGATTAATCGTGCCCATGATCCACTTGAATGGATCTAGGTCGACCACCCTCCAAATTCTTGGCTGCCCTAAGAATCCGGACCCGGTTCCCAACACATAGGGTTTGGGAACCGGGCCCGGACCCCTGCGTAACTCGGTGGAGAAGGTCCGACCCCTGCCATGGAGAGCCCGTTCGCTGGGCCCTGGACGACCCACACCCCCGCGCGTCCTTTGGTCCGGACCGTTTCCTGGCAGGTCTTCATGCTGCCGATCATCGCGGAGCCGGGCTTCCGATTTCCCTCTTTGACCTTTCACATGGAGCTCTTGATGCCTGGAGTAGGAAGCATTGTTTTTGGATTTGGGGGAGTCGTGGGAAGCGATGGTCTCTCCTTCAATGAGCTGTTTCTGGCTGGAATCGAAAACGAGGCCGACGAGGTCGGGTGCGACGTGAGGTTTGGCGAGGGTCGTGAGACTCATTCCAGGCGTTTTTCGGAGTGGCTTTGGAGTTCCCACATCGGCGATGCGGTCACCGGCAGGGTTTCCATCTGAATTTGGAGAAGTGTCCGGCTCACGCGCGCGCGCGCGCGTGTTGCTGGGCTAAGACTCGACCCCACAGAGATGTTCGGTGTTGCCGAACCCAGTGGCTGGTGTTTTCACGGCAAGGATCCGGCCACAGCCAGAAGCTCCAGGTTTTGGTGAAGGTTTTTGCGAGAGCAAGAGGCTTTTAAACTGGTACATCCGCTCTTGGATCCGTTTTTGGAGGACTCTGGAGAGACGTATGACTCGTCTGACCCAGTAAAGACTTGTTGGGCCTTCCAACTTCAAGTAAAGACCATCTATAGACAAGTCTATTGGGGAGGTGCTCGATCAGCCAAACACTCCTAGCCTTCCATTCGACCATTCAAAACAATGGGTTACACTGATTAAAGTAAAGAGACTTGCAAAAGACCCTTGGGGGCGGAACATAGACCAGAGGACTCACTCAAACGGAAGTGGATGGTGACAGAATCCAAGAGACGTGAAGAACCAGAAGGAGGGAGGCAGAGAGAATAGTTGACCTGCCTGGAACTCCCCAGTCCCAACCACTTGTTATGATTGTTATGTACAGGAACTCAAGAATACCACATTGCCATCTTGATCCATGGAACCATTTCTTACTGGTTGGGAACCCCCCCGGTGTTTTTGGTAGAATCCTTCGTCCAACACCGGTGGTTTTCATCGGAACCATTCCGATCCCTGGACCACCGTCGGCTGCGACCGGACGACCGACACATGCACCGGTCCCGAGGAAGCTTCCTTCGCTGGAGACTTTCGACTTGGCGAGCTATGCACAGATTATCCGAGCCCTTTTTTGCGTGGCCCGGTGGATTCTGCAGCTGCCGGGTGGGCCTGGCGGCTGGAGGTTTTGAGGGACCCATCAAAAAAAAGGTGACGGGCAAAGGCCCTTTCAAGATTGAACCCAGTCCCAAGCAGAAAGAAGTCTGAATGTTTCCCCAGTGCCCAAGCACTGGTTATGGAAAGGACCTCAAGAATGCCATAGTGGAACAATCAGAACTGTTTCTGGTTGGGACTCGGGAAGCACTCGTCGGTGGATGTGCCTATTGGGCTTCAGGACAAGACTCGACTCTTTGTCGGGAACCGAAGATGGAGGTTGTTCAAGTGGTCCCAGCAAGTGGTGGAGCATGGTCCAGCTGTTTCTTATTGGGGGCGGGAAGCCAAGTTACCCTACAAGTCGACTGGACTTGATGTTGCCGGACTGGACATGAGACAGTCGACGGGAATGGACTGGGAGCGAGTCCAAAGGATTTCCCTGGGTGACGAGTTTCTGACGAGTTTCGGCTGGCCTTCCAACCACATACCGAACTGCCAAACATTCAAAGACGGGTGCTACACATGTGATGGTCTTGGTTTCGGCTGGATCTTCCAGGATGTCCGCCGAGCTAAACATCCAAACCAGCCAGGTGAGGCAAACATGTCGCATAGTTACGAAGATCATCGAAGATCCAGGTTTGCATATGTAGTGCAGTGCACATGCACATGTACATGGACCCCGGGGCAACCACCCGAACTGATCGGTACTATAGCATGGACCGACTGGATGTGGCGCAGAGTAGACCCGTCACCCAGAGTAGACTCGTTCTTTTCCCCCACCGACCCTCCCACACCTCATGGACCCCCAAAACTGCTACCTGGAAAAAAGGGTCCGAAGACCTCCAACTGCGAAGATCTCGGGTCAAATCCCCAGAAGAGCTCGCCGGAAGAGCTCGAATTCGTCGAACGGCCTGGCCTTCACGTCGATGACATTGACGTGTCGGGTTTGATGGAAACAACGTCACTGGTTTTGGTGGAACGACATCCTCAAACGCATGTTCGGAATTCGGAAGTCCCACCACTTTCTACTGGGCCGCCTCCAGAAAGGCCCCCCCACCGTGTTCAGGGGGTGTTCTCTTTCTGCCCGGTGCCCAGCCCAGAAAAAGAAGACAACTACGTAAGGAAGGTTTCCGGTCATGAAAGCCGTGAAGGCCTCGGAAGCTTCGGGGTGGCAAAGGGGTTCCGACATATAGGCTTGGGCCCGATCCCATCACGAATAAAAACGCCTATACTTACCCTGGAAGTCGTGGCCCACCATTGTTTTAATAGCCGGGTCATCCCGAACCACCGAGCTGTTTTACTAAGGGTTTTACACTGATCAAGCATTTTAAACATGGTCGAGACTTCCAGGCTGATCCCCAAACGGATGGGATTCCAACGTCCGTTCCGTTAGTCCGGACCGGTAGGAAGTCTGCTCCATGGGCCAGCATCGGTGAGGGAAGGCCGGTTTTGGAAGGCCGGAGCGTCTTCTTTTTGAAACCCCTCTGAAGCCAAAAGGATTTGGGTCATCCGGGTCATCCTTTAGGTGGATCTTCTATGACCGAGCGGGTTTCACCGAACCGAGGAGCTCTGGTTCTTCGTGGCGTTTTGCCCACAAAGCCACTCCGGCGAAGGAAGCTGAAAGGGCTGAAAAGGCGGACCACGATGGATAGACTGACCATGACTGACTCTTCTTCCGAAGCTTCGGGGAGAGGGGTGGTTCCTCCGTTCCGGTGGAGGTCTCCCTATTGAATACGCATCCTTTTGGGATGCCAATCTTGAAGCTGGAATCCGCTGATGAGGCATCTGATCCAAGCAACGAAAGGAGAAAAGGCCGTCTTCAGGTTCCGACTGAACCGATCGTGAACCCACATCGAACATGAAGAGCCACAAGCCTTATGATCTGCTTCAATGAGGATCATCCACCGATGTCTCATCATCCATCTTTTGCTTGCCAGTGGATGACTACCATGCTGAAGGCGTTCTCTTTTATTTCCGTTGATCCCTCGAGGCCGCAAGGGTTTCTACTAGGGGGTCGAGGCCGACCATGCATCCGTTGGACGCCATGCTCGGTGGAGGCCATCGCAAGTAGGTTAGAGGCCCTCGCTACGGAGTCACAAGAACGGGGTGGTGTTGAGCCCTCAAGTGTGAGTGGATCATGGGCACCCCGACTTCCTCCAAACGTGATTTCTGTGGCTTCTGGACGAGATCACTTTGCACCACTGGTGACGATGTTCAGACCCATCAGGGCTTAAACCCTCGAAGACCAGGCACCGGAGTCTGACAGAGCATGTTTGAGGTCCTTACCCTGGAAGTCCAGTCGAGCATGTGTTTTTTCGGTCTGACAGAGTCTGACTAGGTCCGAGTCTAGAGATTGTTTACTTGGGTGGTGCCCAAAAATAGAACTGGCTTGGGTGTTTGACTGGTTGGCTTGGGTGTTTGACTGGTTGAGTCCAAGAACCACCCTGAACCGAACTCGCCTCTTTTCCGAACTTCCAAGAATTTCGTCCGGGAACGACCATTTGAGACATCGGGAACGACCTGGTCATTGGTTTTGTATAAAATCCCTTCATAAAACAATGGTGCTTCGGGATTCAAACCATATCATGACTTATGGTGGGCCTGGAAGCCCCCCCCTCTGGGGCACCTTGGATCTTGGACTCCTTCGTCTTCCCCATCGGCTGCCACCACCACCACCCGTGCGACCCACGGTCCCCGTCCGGTCCGTCCGCCCTGAGGCTCCGGGAAGAAGGAACTCTACCTTCGCTCCGAACAGGCCTGGCCGCCGCAACAGGGGTCGGTCGGGGGGTGGTACAGGGGCGCAGCCGGGCGGGCCGGTACAGGCGTCCTTGGACGTCGTCTGAAGACGTTGTACGTCAAGACGTATGAAGACCACGGATGGACCCAGTGAGCTCTTCAGGATTGGGTCAGTGACCTTTTCAAAGCCTAAGTGACCTCATTCTGGGATCTCAAAAGGTCACTGGGAAGGTCCTGGAAGACCACGGATGGGTTCAGGCGCCAAACTTGAACCTTCAACATAGCCCAAGCCGTGGCTATCTTTGATGGGTTTGCTGCGAGTTGGCACTGTGGCGCCTGTCGGGGCAGTGGGCAACCACAAAAAAGACCCAACGCACAAATGAGGCCAGAGAGATTTAAAGTCTCAACCTTCTGATCTGGAGTCAGACGCGCTGCCGTTGCGCCGCTTCCCCTTGCTTCATCACCTTTCCAGTCTTACTCAGCCACAGCCACCAATCGGCCCTCTCCAAGCAGTGAAACACTGAGTCCTGAGTGCCAGACACATTTGGATGGAACGAAACCCAGTCCCAGCCACTTCCCATGTAAGAGATCTCAAGAAAACCCGAACAACCAGTTTCTGGCCCTCGAGGATGCGGCCATGAACAGAATTCCAGCGAGATGTTCGACTTTTGGTGGTGTTTTCTCCCCCAAGTCGTGGGTTCCAAATCGATATTACAAGGATTCGCCGCTCAAACCGTCTTGGGATTTGTGCCAAGAGTTCTGAGAGGGATGTCTTGGGCCCCAAGAATTCGGGCCCAGCACCTCCAGACGGTTTGGGGGTTTGCTGGAGGGCCCGGACCCGCTATGGCCGCTATGCTCGGTCGTCGGATGAGCTTCGCCTCGAGCGTCTTCCAGGCACACGCGCTCCTGCAAGCTGCTCGGCCGCTGGCCGAACGCTTAGCGGCGGTGGAAGCGGAAGTGGAGGCGAAAACCGATGGAAGCTGAAGCAGGGGGAGTCAATTAGCGAAAGAACCTGGATCTTCCCACATGTAGAAGTTCTGCCGAACTTGGCTGGATGACAAGGGACAAGGCCTGCAGAATTTCTTGCATGTTGCTGGACGATGCAGGAATAACATGAATCAGTGCATTTCCTGTGAAATTCCCGGGCTGGACTACTGAAGAGCACACTTCATATGATCCTCCAGACAGGACACCCAGAACAGAACAGGACGGGACTTACTGTGGCCTACACGGAAAAGACCAGGATGAGACCACCCTCATCCCACAAAAGAGTACACGCCACATGGAAGTGGAGTTCACCATCTGTTCGTAAAGGAGTACAGTACGTTGTCTTCCTCCCAGGACCATGCCATCCACTTCCATGTGATGTGTTCATCAGAGTGTACCTGCTCCCCGTACATGTCCAAAGAAGCAGCTCTCAGTTGTGGGCCTTGGTTAGAAGACCCTCATCCGGTGAGCCTGTGGTTATGGAAAAAGCCTCAAGAGCGACCGACAAAAAACAGCCGCTCACGTTGTTCCTTGAGCCAAACGCAGGTCGTATTGACCGGTTCACCTTTCTCAGGTGTTCATGACCTTCATGAAAAGGTATGCTTTGGGTCGTGCGTTTTTCCATTCACACTCCCCCTATGCTGGGTCAATGAAACCAGCATACCTATGGGGATCCACCGTAGGTTTTTTCTTCCACGGCTTCACCCAAAAATTCAAAGCTTCCAGCCGATCGCGAGTCCTCGCCATCAGAATTCAATCCTGGAGGCCCCACTACTGGCGTGTTCACGCCCATCCAAACAGGCAAATCATCAGCTTGTGGCGGAACTAACCGCTCATCCTCCAGCGAGACCCTCCATGCCTCCTCATTCGGATCCTCCGCCCTCGATGAAGCGGACGGCCCGATCTCTCCCCTTTTCAAGCACCCAAGGCGCCTTGCCTCATAGCCGCTCGCGGGGACACCCTCCAAGGTCACATTGACTCGTGCAGTGATTGCCGTGCCGTCATAGGCACGTGACATCTGAAATGAAGTGCCAGTTAAGGCCTCCACAGCTTTCCGACCCCTCTCCGCAGCATGCGAAGAAGTGCCGCCATCACCTCCATACCCTTCACGGGGTTGAGATCCTCCAGCTCCAGGCCGCAGTGGCATTTGAGCCTGCGAAGACATCGCTTCCTCGCCCTCCACAGTGCCAGCCTCTGGGCCAAACTTCTCGAAGAAGAACGTGTAGCCACACCATTCATAGCAGTCTCTGACATCCGAATTTCTGTTCTCCACCCAGTCATCGATGATGCATCGTCGACGCCAGGCTTCTCTTGTGCTCCCCCGGCTGAAGACCACGGTGATCCGGGTTGGTGAGAGACGTCCGATCGAAACAGGCGTCCCCCTATGGAGCGGATGGAACTGCCGCACCCTAGGCCTTTTGAGGACCCTCACCCACCAATCACCACTGGCGGTGCCACATCCAAGGCATTCCCACCGGTCCAGGCCAGTCGGCGGCGACATGAAGCGAGCAAGCTCCCAAGGCTCATCCGTTCCCAGGCTCACATGCCTAGGCGGAGGTTTCGTCGGCGGCGCCTTCATGGCGCACATCCGCATTCGGCCATGGCTACAAGGCGAAACAAAACCCTTGGTAACCCTCGGGGTGCCGGTTCGGCAACAGTCGAACGAAGTCGGGCGATCGACGGACGGGGAGGTTGTATAGGTTGTGTTCCTCCCGCATTCGATAGGGCCGGGTTCATTTTCCCTCGACCATCTTGATGTTTCTTTTGAATGGGATGCGTTAGACCTCTTTGTTGACTGGCCATCTGCCGTCTTCGAACACTTCTTGTGCACAAATGCCGTCAACGCTGCCAGTCCACACACCGATGCCGCTCGGACCGCAGTGCCCAGGCCTGGAGCCACCACTAACAGTCCCAACGCCACCGCCGCACCCAGCGCCAACTTCTTCAAGCGAGAAAGCGCAGGGTCCTCCGCAGACGCCTCCGGCTCCACCGAAACAAGCCCCACCGTAGAGGCAAATGATTCCCAGCTCCGAGGCACAGTGATCGCCTTGGTCAACAGGTCAGCGCATAAGTCAGCTCCAGGGATGTGCTCCGCATGCCACAACTTCATCTGCAGCCGTTCCCTCAAAACATGGCTGCGGAGCCGAAGATGTCTCGTCCGCCAGGGCCCGCTTGGGGCATGCAGCAGCTGTAAACCTGACAAATTGTCGCCTCGCAATACATAGCAGCCTTCATGGGCCAGCGCATTCTGCTCGAGGACGTTGACAATCGCTCCAACACTTTCTCCCAGGGTGAGGCCATCAACATACCCCAGAAGTTCACATTCCGTTGTACTCAGCGTTGCAAAGGGCTGAGTCTTCGATTCCCAAGCCACCAAAGCACCACCCCACAGGCACATGATGCCCTGATGACCCTTTCCTCCAGTTGGTGCAAACGACGAGTCTGCCAACACCTCCAGCCTGGACATCGAGCTCTGCCGGCCATAGGAGTCCATCTCCTCGGAGCAGGGCTTATAGGCGAGCGCATAGTCAAGGGTGTTCATGAGGTACCCCACCACATGATGAGCCAACTTGAGCACTCTCTTCGGGCATTTTGTCACTCTGGAGCCCAGGTAGGAGACCGCAAAGCTCAGATCAGGCCTGGTGCGTGTTGATAGCCAAAGGAGTTCACCAATGACAGTTTGACATTTTTTCACATCCTCCTGAAGAATCTCGTCCTCCAGGTCCACATCATCCAGCTTCGGAAGAGGAACTTGGCGAGGTTGAAGGTCAGGATACCGACTAACAATTTCCCGCGTGTAGTCAGGCTGCCCCACCAACAACTCATCACCCTTCCACCTCATCTCTATTCCGCAAAATTTCAACCACTGGTGCTGAGTCACCCACTTTGGCTCAGCGCACTTCCACATGGTTGAGAGCTTCTTCAGGAAACGTTCCGCCGTGGGACGAGGCGCAGTGACAATGAAGTCGTCGACATAGGACAAAGCATACCCTGCCGTTGACCCATCATCCATCACCTTCACAAGTTCCTCCTCACCTCCAGGTGCAGTCATCAGTCGCCACACATTGGGCTCCGGAGTGGGAACCACCCAATTGTGCACCCCATCCTCCCACCACCGCATGCTCTGCAGCGCTTCATCCCTGTAGGCCTGCCAGTCAGAGGGAGATGTGTCCAAGCCGTAGACCGCCTTCTCGATCACCCAGCGAATGTCAGGCTCGATGAGTCCAGCCTCTACCAGTATGGACGGCGGCTTCGTCACCATCAGCCTGGACGATTTCCGAGGTGCAAGCAAAAACGCTGTAGAGACATCAGTAACCCCGATGGACCACTTCTCCTGAGCCGCTTTTCGCAACGTGCACCTCAATGACATCCCATCGATGCCACTGGCATATAAATCAAAACTGCTTCCCATGGTCTTCTGTTGAGGCGGTTGGTCATCTTGACGATCCTCAAGGGCCATAGGTTGTTCTCGACGCTTTGAGGTGTCCTCCACCAAATTGCCACAAAGAACGATGCGGGCTTTCTTGCGAGCATCCGGGGCCTTCACCGTCGGGACAACCTTCGATGGGACCACCAGCATCTCTTCATAGCCCGGTTCATTCACCAAATCCTTCACCTTCACAGGCCGAACAGCTGTCGTTGACGTTTCCAGCGATGTTACCTCGTTCTTGAGAGGCGGAATCCATAGTGGAAGATCTTTTCGAACCTGTGCTAGGGGCACCGTGTAGGTTTGCAGGACCGAGTGGACTGCCTGCTGCTCCGGCGATTGCGAGACATCAACAGCCATTGCCGCCATCTGGATCTTCTCATCATCGCCTCGCATGTCAGTCAACTTGTTCTCCATCTCCAAGACCATCTTCTCCACATAGTCGAGGATGTAGCCCTGCATTGTCCCCTCATCTTCACCTACCACCACATCCTTTGCGAGGTCCGACCATAGACGCTTCCAGCTCCAGTGTTCTTCTTCTCCATGTTCACGGAGCTTCAGTGCCTCGTTCATCTCACACTCCACACGCCCCAGCATCACTTCATTGCCTGGAGCTTCGAGTGGTGTTTCGCAGAAGCGACACTGTTCCACCTCCTTCAACTTGCCAATCACATACTCCCGCTGGTCACCACCCTTCACCGGGAGCACCTGAAGACCACATTCGCCACACACCCATGGTTCACCGTGTGCACCATCATCTCCTTTTCGAATTTCACCACCGTCACTGCTTTTCAGGAGGAGAGACTCCCCCCCAGACCAAACAAAGTGACGGGCTGGACCAATTTCTTTGTGCTCTCCCCCCCAAACCACGTTCAGCTTGAAGAGCTTGAAGGTGTAGATCATCACTCAATCTTGGTGCCGGAATCTGCGGCAAGCACGGATCAGGCGGCTGTTTCCCCATCACCCGGTGCGAAGGGCGCGACGGATCGGAAGCTTCCTGAAGTTCCAGAACAGCTCGATCAGCCATCGGGTCAGTGAGGACAACCACACGTGCGTGTTGAACTTGTTGACCTTCCCTCAACACATAGCCCTCCGTCATGAAAGGTGATGGTCCGAGGATGGTCATCGTGCGAAAGGGCGGAATCAAAGGCCCAAAACCAGCTCTGTGCCACCTTTTGGTTTTCACAGTGACACGGGCTCCAATTGGCATCAGCGGCGTGCAAGGGACTCCAAGCTTGGCGCATTGATGCCGCAGTCTTTCCTCGCCAACATAGCGAGCGATGCCAGGCCACAGCTCTTCACCAAGGCCACTTTCTCTGACCAACATCCGAAGCCGTCTTTTAACCTGCTGCACCTCTGTCTCAATTCTCCCATTTGAGGGGCCTTCATCACCCCCCGTCATAGTTTGGTAAAGGCCAAATCGCCGGCAGAAGGACTGGAACACCTTGGAGAAGAAAGCACACTCTCTGTCGGTGTGGACACGGATGATCTTCAGGCCCATCGCTTTGAAGCGGCAGTACATCCTTGTGGCCACCTTTGTGACATCATG